AGTATAAAACAACAAAAAATAAAAATAAAATCACGACGTTTCGGCCACAACACAAGTGGCCTTCATCAGGTGAAGGGACCAGACTGTCTCGAGGACAGCGCTGCAGTGAACACAGCCAAGCTCACTTTAAGATGTTTTCTTGTTCACGTTTTTGTTTTGTTGCGGTTGCACCCGAGTCAAGAGCCGCATGGCTCACAGTGCTATACCTAATAAATGAAACTGAACTGAACAATTCTAGATGGTGGTCTAAACAGCAAAATGGTCACATGTTCAGTTCTATTGGTGCTCGTGCACTGGATAAAGCTGAGAGCAATGCTACACACCTTTGTGCGTCGATAAATGTGTCTGTTTCCAGCCCGCTTTCATGTTTCTGTTGTTAAGGGTATCCTCGTCATTTACAGATGTGAAAGGATAGATTGGTTATCTCAGTATCATCACCGTGGATGCAGAGATTGTAAACTGTTAACCCTTGTGAATGACCTCAGCCATGCTATATACACTCTTGTGTGTATGGATATATATAGTGGGGAGTGGTAGTGTAGTGGTTAGCATGCTGCTCTTTGAATCTGGCGATCCAACTTCGATTCCCTCTCACGGCCAACATCAGTGACGATTATCTGAACCGGTCCTGGGTCTCCCCTAGGTCAACTCAGCCTCAAATTAGTGCCTGGTGCAGGCGGCAGGGAGTGGTGGTCACCCACCCTCTCGTGTTCTGTTCCGGCCTTCATAGGTGCTTGCGAAGAGCACTTGCCCTAACAGTCGGTTAAGGCTATACGGGGATATGTCTTTATATAGTGTGAATTTCAACTGGAAGGAATTTTGCAGATCTCTGCAATTTGATACCAACGGTTCGCTACAGATGTCGCATACGTGACAGAATGTTGCCCTCACTGAGGTCAATAAATCAGCCACTATTTCTGAGCCACCTATATTCCCATGGACTGTTGTGCTGAATCTCTGTGTAAGGTCATGTTTATTGCCGTAGCTTATTTTAGACCTATCAGCACCCACACCAGAATTAGGGTACAGTAGCGCTACTCCCTGCTGCAATGCTGCCGTTAAAAAAATGTGGGTCATATAAACTAAAACAAAATTATTTTTTTATTTTACCAAGTAAGACCCACTGAGCTATACACCGCTTGTTCACAAATTATAGCTCAATAAGTAGCTCATCACGTGGAAATGTACAGCAAAAAAATAATCTAAAAGGCATGTTTATAAATATGTAGGGGAAAACCGGAGGACCGAAAGAAAAGTCCACATGACTACGTGGAGCGACAAACTCCAAATATACAGCAGCAGCAGCAGCAGGCGTCAGGGCTGGGATCAATCCCACGACCTCCTGTATACCAGGCGAGGAAGTTAACATCTCCTAGCCACCACGGCAAACCTTATATCTTAGGTTAATTCTGTCATTTTGTGCTTTTGATTAAAAACATTCCCATGCTTAAGTAGAACTGTTCTAAAAAAGTTAACCAAAATTACAATTACTTGAATTTTAGTTAAGCAAATTAAATACTTGTTTTTTTTAATTAGCATAATCATCAGCCATTGCCAGGACATAGTGGCAGCCAATGATGAAAAACAAACGTCCACCGAGAACTGAGTGATGAAATCAATTCATGGGCACGCACCTCAGTGCCTTCTTACATCAGAGGATCGTGGTGGCGGCGGCTTAGAGATGACGTCATCCAGCAGTGAATTTACCATGGCTGATGATGATAACAGATTGCACGTGGCAAGCGTTCGTCATTTTCCGCAATGTCAACATAAATCAAATCATTACGATCCCATAATATTGTAAGGCCACATTTTACTCTTGACACGTAATTAAACCATTTAGTACTGTCACTGTAAGACTGTCCTCCTCTAAACCCAATACACGGTGCAACTAAAATAATATATATAGTTATAGCATACGTATTATTGTATAGGGATTAAAATAAACCGTAGCTATTTCAATAAAAGTGAGTTGGGAGATAGTAGGGGGGGGGGGCACAGTCGTATCTTGCATAGCCCCCCCGGTTGAAAGAGGTCGTTGTGTCCTTGAGTACACGACATGCGACTAAGATGCGGCTGACACTAAGATGCGACTGACATTGACCGGTGCACCGCAGAGACATTTTCAGATGCGGCCGACACTAAGATGTGGCTGACATTGACCGGTGCACCGCAGAGACATTTTCAGATGCGGCTGGCACTAAGATGCGGCTGACATTGATCGGTGCACCGCAGAGACATTTTCAGATGCGGCCGACACTAAGATGCGGCTGACACTAAGATGAGCTATAAAGCTCTTTTTCCAGAAATGTCCAGTTGGGGAGGGTCGGAACGTTACAAGAACAAACGATAGGCGTGCAAAGTAAAGCAAATAATAAAAATATATATACAAGTAAAACTAACGATGTTTATCTTACCAGGTAAAAGGCCAGAGATATTTATTTTACAGAAGTGACCTGGCCACAAATAATAACTCAACAAAGTGGATTATCTCGTGGAAATTTATTGCAGAAAAATAATATAAATGCATGTTTCTAAATGTGTTACGTGTATATGCATCGTACGGGCAGAATGGACGTTTGAAACACCCACAGAACTACAGCTACATCAAACAAATGTAATGACAGTAGAGTCATCCTGCAGTATGAATGGACTAGTGGCCACGGGAGGTAATGACAGGGGAGTCATTGAATGGACTGGTGGCTGTGAGAATGATCTAGATTAGGAGCGTGGCCAGGTGACGGAAGAGGACGGTGGAGTCTGCTGGTAGAGCGAGCGGTCTAGAACCAGCGAGAAGGTTCGGGAATGGGGGCGTGGGAGACTCGGGGCTTTTGCAAGTCGTCATTACACAAAGACAAGGATCTCCTATATATCTTTAACATACTTTTTGGGGCAAGTGCTGTTGGCGAGCACCTATCAAGGCCGGCACGGCACACGAGGGGGTGGGTGGCCAGCACCACGCTCGGCCACCTTTGTCACCCTTGTGGCGATGTTCACACACCGTACTCGGGAATCATTTAAGGCTGAGTCGACCCAGGAGCGGTTCTGATAATCGTCATTGGTGTTGACTGTGAGCGGGAATCGAACTCGGGTCGCTGGGTTCGTCGCGCAGCGCGCTAACCGCTGCACCACCACTCCCAGGCACACACTGGCTCACACACACAAACTACAACACACTCAGATTCTTGGTTCTTTCGGTAAAGTCACGTAGAAGGGAAACAATAAAATAATAAAAATATAAAACATTGTTTTGGCCACGTTCTGTTTTAAACACTGTTTTATATTTTTACCAAAAGAACCAAGAATATGAATCCCTGCTGTCACGAAAGCTTTAAATCAAAATACAACACACTCGTTCGCCAATAAGTGGGCAGGAGGTCGCGCAATGGACCCAGGTACCACGGGTTTGACTGAGATGACAATTTACAGTGCTGTACAACCGCACAAACCACGACTGCCAACACCGCGTACACCCGGGCCACTCGTAAAATATCCCACCTTAATCTTACCAAGGGCCCTCCGTTCACTTTGGGAGTACTTGCGCGTTCACGGACCGGACTTACTCGTTCACGGTCCGCGTTCCTAAGTCGAGACGGGTCTGCTCGGGTTTAACACGTAATAGGCTTTCGCGACCAATATCACCCATCATACGGGTTTTCGTTTTGTTTTGGGGTTAGATCGCATAAATATAAATGTGTCGTTCAACCAGCCACCGCAAATCCGTCTGTCGCCTGATGGTATGCTAGTTGTAATTACTGGCGAAACGTCGTACTCGGATTGTGGATTTGCTCTCCAACACACACCGGTGTGCTGTACTAGTAACGAATTGGCCACGTTCTGCTTACGTGACGAACCTTCACTAATTGGCTGTGTCGGGTGGTGGCGGGTTTAACGACACAATTATATATTTACACGATCTAACCACCCCCCCAAAAAACCCTCCCCGTTATGGCCTGCCCGAGTCACCGAACACGTGCGTGGCGCACACAACTTCCGGAAGTGTCTTCCGGAAGCTGCCTTCCGGAAGTTGTCTTCCGGAAGCTATCTTCCAGAAGCCTCTTCCGTTTTCCGGTAGTACAACAAATAAAACACCGCCGCTCCTTTATGCGCGGTGACGCTCCCACTGCACTGAAGTCGGCTACGTTCCTCTTCGGAATATACCATTACACTCTTGGGGAGGGGGCGATTTATTTAAATCGCATGATACAACGCTGTTATACTAAACTTACAAACTATTATGCATTTTTTGTTATAATATGAAAAGTTAATTCTTAGCTGTACTAAGCGCTTTCACAAAATCTGTTTTGTTTGAAAGAGTTAGTTTCATTTTGCCTATTACCCCCTATCGCGTAGTGGACGAGTCCGCGCTCCCCCTTAGCACGTCACCGAGACACCGCCGCCATTACCTCGATTGCAGAGCCGGTAAGCGCAACGCCTTTACCGTAGCCTCGTAACATTATTTAACAAACGTCGGGGACTTTGTTTTTATGTATTTTGTTGTTCATATAAACTCGACGTTATGCGCGACCGATGTGAATGCGCGTATGGTCGCGTCGACGCGTCTGCGTGTGCCTGCCGCGGAAGGGCCTAGGAGGGGAGGGCTTTTACACGGGGCGAATGTTCATAACGCACCCCAACGCCTTCGCCACATTTGTACAATAGCGCCCGATTCGTACGCTTAAACGTGTGGCCAACGAAGATCGCGGCCGCGTGTTAACTCTATTTTTGGCCATCGTAATTCGAAGCTCGTTGTGGCTGTGGCGATCGCTGGGAGCTGATGGAGGCGTTGGGCCTACAAGCGCCCGGGCCTCGGCTTTAATGCGAATTCTCATTCCTCGTCTCGCGTTGAGGGGTTGCTCGCTCGTTCTTCACGCCGCAGCTCCACCCTTTAACGTTCTTGTCCGTCCGTCGACACGTCGCGGCACCTTTAAGGGGTGTTAAGGTGCGCGACGTGACGCGCGGGAATCGACCCGGTATGTTTTTTTGTTTTGTTTGAATGTTTCGAGTGCCACTGTTTAAAATGGATGCTGCGCCGCTCTGCGTTGTTAATAATGCTTCACAGCGGCAATCCAGAGGTCACCGGCAATCCAGAGGTCACCGGTTCGATCTCCCCGGCGCGCGGCACCCCTTTGCAACAGTGGGATATTTTCTTTGCTGAATTGGCTAAACCCGTTCGCAATTTGCGCTGCGTGATCATAGTACCGCGTGACAGCTAAGGTCCTATATAACACGAGAGTTTGGAAGTACGAATTTGACTGGCATGTAAAGGAATTGATTGTACGTAGGCGTCCACATCATAAGAAAAACTATGAAACGTAGCCGGTGGATTAAAATATGTTTTTGTCAAATGTCCGAATCATTGTAATGTGTCGTTTTAAGGTTCTTAAATATTGAGGCCGTCGTATTTTTGGTTTGAACTTATTATTGCGTTCGGTACAGTATTTAACAGGATAAACATCCGTTATTGAACAGCCATGCAACGCACATTTTATAAGTGGTTCGTTTGCATGGCCTACGCGTGTGAATATCGTTACACGAGACGGTCACGTTTTGTTTGAAAATGAGCAGCGATGCGCAAAGAACAGCCGAATGCTGCGGTTGTGCAATTAAATCCGCACCTGCGCATGGATGGCCCAATACAATTGTGCGCTTTGTCCGTGAATTATCTTGCAGCGGCATCGGCTCGTGTTGAGCAGAGTGAATTCACATTGCAGCAAATTCGTATGGATTGTCCGAATCCAACACAATCTGTGCACGTGGCAAGAGGAAAAGGCCATTGGGCATCATGCCCTGGAAATGTTAAAGCTCTCGCAGAAAAACAGTGGTTCAAAGTGCATTAAGTCCATCGTACTGTTTATTTAAATGAAGCTGAGCAGTTAAATGTGCTCGTAAAATTACTCATTCATTAACACTTTGCTGAATGAACAATAATACTGTAACACTTTATATTTTCATTGCAGATTTCTTTCCACAAATCAGAAATTGCAACGCAAGTGTAAAGTATGGATCGGAAAAAGCGGTAAGATTTTTAAATGTCAGTCTTGTCAAACAAGTGTTTGCATGCTATATCAAATATGTTGGTAATATCTATAAAGAATGGATTAACAATTGTAAACCGGGAGGTAAAATTGTAAGGTTTTTAAATGTTTTATTTCATTTACGAGCACGAATGTCAATGTTTATTATGCAGTAAAGCTACGTTGGTCATGTAAATCTATAATAACATTGTTTGTACTTAATAGCAGCCGAAGTGACAGGAGTGGACGTTATCCATCTGATGGTGACCGAGACAAGTGGTCTCGCGATGAGGAATGGAGTTCCAAAGACGATCGACAAAGTGATGACTCGATCAGTAAGGCATTTTAAAAAGAAACTGGATATGGAGTGACATGCAAGCCAGCTTTTTGATTATTACTTACATAAGCTCCTGGTTGTCGCTGACTTATCAATGTATGGTTTGCCTACACGATGATTTTGGTTGTTAGGAAAACCCTGCGTCGGAACTTAATTTCTACATTTTATTAACTGCTTGTAGGCTCATTATTTTGGGGTTTAGCTTTATAATGGCACACGTCTGCCAATTGTGTGCAGGTCTTCTGGGGCATGCCATTGGTGTTTTTCAAAGATAAAATCGTCAATTTTAATCCACATGGGGATTTGATGCGCAAATGAAGCACTTTCAGTTTTGGCACAGTCTGTACTAAAGCCCATATTCCTTAAAAAAAAGAATTGGAACGTTGCACACAGTTTCTGAATGATGCTTATGCTTCGGGGGTTTCCACAGGTCCGAAACGAGATGATGGTCGAGAGTCTGACCGCAAAAACTATGACTACAAAGATGTGGACTATCGCAGTGGTCCAGGATACAGGAGGGATTCACGCAGTTCAAGGAATGGTGGCTCAGAGGTGGGTTAACAATGAGGCCTGAACGCATGTGCCTATGAAATGAGTAAGTTAATTACCTGAAAAATACTGTTCTCAGGAGTGTAGTCAATATGCTGTAAAAGCCTCGAGACTAATTTTCACTAGGTTCCTGCATTGGTTTTTTTGACCACTTTCAAATCATTTTTTTGCATGTGGGATGAAGCCAGACTGCCTTGATACAACCTATGCTTACTAGATGGGAACACGTGAAATGTGTATACAGAAATACTGCTGTCTTTTTGCCACATCACAACCCAACTAGTTTGTAAATTTCACTAATTGGTCATGTACAATCCCATGACTCCAAATTACTGGATTAGAGATTTACAGACTTGTGCCACCGTACAGCACAAAGCGGTGGTAGACACAGGTCGCAGACGGTTTACTGTGGCAATGTTGACCTAAGACATTAATGTTATTCGTTTAAGTATGTCCAAAACATGCTTTTGCTTAAGGTCAAGGAATGATAATAGTACTGTGTTATAAGCGGTCATACATTATTGAGACATTTCAAATTATAACAAAAAAAAAATGTAATGGCATGAAATTAAAAAAATAACGCCAAGGATTTGTCTTACTAGATTCAGTAGCCAGCATTATGCATCCATTGTGCATATTAATCACGTATTTAACGTGCACAACCCCTGAGGCATGTGAATAATCGATATGGCCAATGACAGTGAAATTGCAAACAAGCTGACAAACCTGAATTTATATAGATTACTAGCAGGAAGTACCCGGCTATGCCTGGAGGAAAAATATATTTCAAAACTTGTTTTCTCTTAAAAACATAACATACACAAACACTAAGTTACTGTGAAAGCCATGCGTTCCGTTTGTCCATTTCTCCGTCAACAAAATAAGAGGCTTGCAGAAGGTAATAGAAATTGGGGGCTAAATAGTTGATCTAAAAGGTTTACAAACGTTGTCAAACCCTCTCTTCCAAAAATCCTTTATCCCCCCCCCCCCAGCCATTGTTTGTTGGCATATATACCTTACACACTACATAAAATAGTCGGTAGTATCTAGTGACTCTATAGTAGTATCTGGCTCGACAGTAGTATCGACTGACCCAACAATAGTTACTACTGACTCTACAGTAGTATCTACTGCCTGTATAGTAGTATCCACTGACTATAGTAACTACTAACTCTATGATAGGCTCTGCTGACTATAGCACTATCTGCTGACTCTGCAGCAGAATTTACTGACTGTAGTAGTATATACCGACTCTATGGTAGTATCTACCGGCTTTATAGTAGTAACTACTGACTCTACAATAGTATCTAATGACTAGTATAGTATATACTTCACTATAGTAGTATCTGCTTAGTATAGATGTATCTACTGAGTACAGTAGTATCTACTGACTCTATAGTAGTATTTAATGATTGTATAGTAGTATCTACTGACTGTATAGTAGTATCTAGTAGCTCCTGTCTACAGTAGTATTCACTGACTACAGTAGTTCCTACTAACTCTGTAGTATTCACTGACTACAGTGGTATCTACTAACTAGTATCTACGGATTGTACAGTGGTATCTACTGACTATAGCAGTATCTACTACTATAGCAGTATCTACTGACTATAGCAGTAACTACTGAGTCTACAGTAGTATCTACTGACTATAGTAGTAACTGCACACATTGGGGTGGGGGGAGAAGAGGACATCACACTTTAGTATTTACCTCGGCGCGTGGTTGTGCAGCAATAACAATGCTTGATTATTTTTAATATTTTGCGTTTTTTTTACTCTGAGGTTCTCCAGTTGCCGCTCGGCAAGCTCGTGTGCGTTGCTAGGGGAAACCGCGAGTCGGCTTTTCCGCGCATGTGCAGATGGCGCCACGAAGATAGCCCATGATCGGCGTAAAAATAAATAGTTATAAAGTGTGATTTTAGTAGTTTACATTGGACCAAGCGGAAAAACAAATAGCACATTTTTGTCAGGAGGCTTAGTGTGTTAGATCTGTGTACTTTGTTGAGACGTAAACCCAACAGTTTGTCAGTTGAAAGCGTTGCAAGGCTACGCGTGTGCAAGACGCAAAAAAAATACTTTTATAGGTAAGGTTCATGAGGTGATATTAATCTGGCTCTCAGAACCCTAAGTTTTTTGTTTTTGTACAGAGAGAGCCACATGTGAAAAAAACTACACGTGATAGAATACAAAGGGAAAACCTTAATCTTGCAGTGGATCGTGTCTGGCAAAGATAACTACTTGTAACTATACTCTTTGGTTCTTTGTAACTTGCCTTATGCCCATCCAAGGACGCGGGTCTATTGCAGTAAATCTGCAACTTGCAAGCGAAAATCAGACCGCGACGTGATATTAATTGCATCCGTTCGTGTGCAGTTTTTAAGGGTGCGGTGACAGCTATTTCATTGTAAAGGTTATAATCCCTTGTTCATCATGACGTCCTTTTTACTTCTATGTCTCAATAGCGTTACGGAGATCGCGTGACGTGAGGGTTCTGCCTTTGAAGTGAAGGTTGTAAGTTGACTCCGAGGAGGGGGGAGGAGCCGCCTCGGCCCCCCATGTGGAGTGACGTCAGCCGCTAACTATTATGAATGGGGGGTGGTGTCCGTTTGGAGGACGTCGCCTTATGATTATTAATGAGGGGGGCTGTTCGATGTTGAGTTATGTCGCCTCATGATTATTAATGAGGGGAGCTGTTCGACGTGGAGTGACGTCACGAGTGATGCACACAAACATTCTTGGCTCATAGTCGATAATAAAGGGGGGGGGGTCCATTTGGAGTACGTCACCTGCTCATGAATATTAATTAGGGGGGCTGGTCAACATGAAGTGAAGTCACAAGCGTTAAGGACATTCCTGGGTGATTATAGTCGGTATTTTCATGTTTAACATGTGAATTTAGGCAGTTATTTTGTACGTGTTCACATTTAATAAATGTTTACGTGCACATTATTTGTTCGGTATATTTAGCAGTGTTTTTATAGCAATAGGCTAATATTTAGTCAAGATAGTCTGACACTGGTGAAGAGAAGATTGTTTTATTAGGACAGTGGGTGGGTTTGAGGAGACAAACTACAAAATGGTTGAAAATTAAAATGTGAGATGGAATTAACGAGTTGGTCATAGGCGGATGAGAAAATAACTATCTTGGATCTGAACAATAGGAATGAGTCGTGGTGCAGGCAACTAGGGATTATTATTTTATAAACCCAAGTGGCATTGAAGAGCAGGTGGGCCCTATAAATAACACGAGGAATGACGGCTTGGATTTCTGGAGCAGATTTCGCACCTCCGATTAGCACGATTGGCTGTGTACAGTGTGAAAGAAATTCCCACACAAGCGGAACTTTAAACAATGTTTCCCACTCTATATCAGGAACGTGATGACAATACAGAGGACTATGGCTATGATGCTAAAGATGGAAACAGATATCATCCGGATGGAGGATACCATGACCAGGACTACAGAGGAAGCCATTCTGAAGATGTGCAGCCCAGCACTGTCATAATCTTGCGCAACCTGCCTCTGTCTCTCACCAAGTCTGAGGTAGTTTCCCTTTTCATGCTTTATGGAAAAAAAAATTGTTTGTTGATGCACATTGCTAAATAACCACATTGACCAGCAAACACAAGAAGGCATGACTGATCCAGCACAATTTGGTATGTTTGTTGACCAGATTAAGTCGTTCATTTGAAGTTATGTATACTCCTAAAAAGTGGGCTAACTTGTTTGCCCTCCATATGTGTATTGAAAGTTAAACATTCGGAAAGTGATAAACTGTAATTTTCCTTCTCTACAAGAATACAATTATTTGGTTTGAATCCCGGGTGTACAAAGGTGACTCATTTTTTTATGGATTATGCAGTCAAATTTTTCGTTGTGTTTGTAGATTGTATCAATATATTGTATATGCTTGTTTTTTTTAACAAGACAATTTTAATTTATTTAGCATCAAATTGACACCAGAACTCTTACATTTTTATAGGCCGTCAATACAATCAATAAATCATTAACTATTTAACTTGCTTTGCACTGGTGATGGAATTCAAATTATCTTTTGAAGCTGCTTTTTAAGTGATACGTACTGTTTTTCGGCATAGCATTTCCCTTACACAGGTGTGCAAACAGTAATATTGTAGCGTGTTTATTCGGTACGTGGAAACCGTGTCACTTTTATTGCAGCTTGAATCTGAGATGCAGAAGGTTGGACCTCCGCTAAGGGACGTGAGGCTGATCCAAAACAAAGTGACAGGTGAGACAGCTGTGGTTCCAGGCTTGTTCCGTGCTCATAACCCCATGGCGCCCGTCGACTCAGTGGACCCACATGTAACGCCGGCGGCGATGGTAGTTTGTCCTGGCCAAGAGCCTTGCCGGATTTTGTCTCCCCACTTGTGAATGCAGGCTGGGAATTCGGTCGCACTGTCGTGTAAAATATCTGTGCTCTTGAGTTAATGTATTCACTTGCTGAATAGTGACCTATGATTTTTAGTTGTAATTGCTTAATTAATTGTTAGGTTTGGGTGATTAACTTGGAAAAAAAAAATTGACGGCCATTGAAGGCAAGTATAATCGCATAAAACGTGTTTTCTTCTGGCTCGCACTTGGGCAAGGACCTTGCGTTTGCCACAAGGCGTGGGATGGAGATCCACATTGACAGCATCTCACTACACAAGAAATGACAGATGTTCACACCAGGAATGCAAGACCGGATGAAATTTTGTGATTGATTATAGACCAGGTTGAGCAATGTTGCTCCTATGCAATCCTGCCAGCGCAGTGATGGGCACTGGCACATTTATGTGAGTGGCAGAGCGGCATATGATGGTGCCGACTTGTTTGAACCATTTTACAATATAAAACACTTGTTAACAATTGATTGAGCAAATGTTTACACATTTTGTAATTATTGGACAGATGTATTCACGTAACTAATATTCACTTTAATCACCCAATCTTTAATTTTTTTTAAAAAAATTGAATGTTATTTGGCAGTTAGAGGTGGCAAAGTTGCAAAATTGTGTTTGTACGCAATTGCGAGCATGTTGTGAGCACTTCTTTGTCAAGGAGCTGTAGCTTTTGCAGCCATTAATTCTACTTTTGTTCAATGCCTGGGAGTAACTTGTTTATTTATAGGCTGTGCTTGTTAAAACCTTAATTTTTTGGCAGGTGGAGAAAACGTCGATGTTAACATTAGATGCCAATAGTGACTGCATTAACGTATACAGGGCACATGTTAACCATGACTTAAGAGATCCAACGAATGAACAAACAAGACTTACAGGCCATAGCTTATTTTCCATTCGGCAAATAGTTGTATTTACATAGCTGTTGCCGTGAATGTGCAGGTTAACGGTAAGTGCCCAGAATGGTTGCTGCAAAAATGTTTGTTATTTCTTAGCCTGCATTTTAAATTCTAGGATACAATTTTAATTTGTGGTGACTTAAAAATTAGTAAATATCTTTCAGCATTCTGTTCAGATCCCTCTTGGCCAGGGCAAACAATTCCTGCCTGCTCAACAGTGAAGGAGTTTCTGATGTTATGCAGTGGTAACTTGGAATTTGACTGTTTAAATTTAAAATACAAGGATATCACGGTGACCTTGGCCCATTTTGTTCCTCTTACATTTTAGAGAATTGTAAGAATATAATACTTCGTAAAAGTGTTCAGTCCAACCTTTTCTTTCCACCAAAACTGACGCGATGGAGTCGATGCACTTGAAACACATCCTGGAATACGAAGCCTCCTTCCCTTTTGAGCTTTGTGCCGTGGAGCGATGTTGCTGTCGGTGTTGTGTCCACGTGATACAAGTCCCAAGACTAACACCGATCCGTGTATATGTGAATGCCACCTCTAGGTCAGAGCCGAGGCTTCGCCTTCGTGGAGTTTATACACTTGCAGGACGCTACCAGATGGATGGAAGCCAATCAGGTTGCTTTGGTGTAGACTCCGATCATTGAGCCAGTCTACCGACGTTTGAAACGTGCCTTGCCTTGCTCAAAAAAAAAAAAAACCTCGTGATTTATTTTAAAAGGAAACTTCGGTCATGGCTGCGAGATGTTTACTATTTGGCAATTATTCTATATTGCACAACTGTGAAAAGGATGATAAGCACATTGTACAATTAAAAGTAACGTATCAGTATGCAGCAGTCCCATGACTTTCATTTCAAGGTTATTTACAAAATTGACCAATTGTTAATATTTCCGAAAAGATATATTGTGCATATTTTAAATATAGGAAAATGTGATAGATTCATCGTGCTAAAGAATTGAAAAAATAGAGTTGTGATCACCTCATCATTATTGTGGAAGCATTCATGGCCTGAATCGGGAAGACTGCTGTTATTATACTTCACATGTTTGACGGTGCAATGTTAGCACGACTAGAGCGGTATTGACCCTTAATGAACGCGCGTCGCTTTAATTCGTGTGAACTAATTTAAACGTAGCCATTTTAAAGGAGTCCCAACGTTGGAAGCTATGAAAATAAAATACCTTGTACAGGTTGCTGTTGACCAGGTTAAGCTGCAGTTCGTAATGTATTATTTGTCTGTGCTGAAAATGAAAAGTCACAGGAACGAACAATTTGCAGACTTTTAACACGCGTTGGACAGGAAGGAGGGGCAATGTTACCTATCTCTTCTTCTGCCATTGGCCCGGCTGGATTAAGTTTCTTCTGCTTTTTTTAATTTATCCGTAACGCCCCATGGTTCCCTGGACGCCTAGCCTTCCCTAGGGTTCAGAAGCCTGCATGTACTCGGCACACCTTTGCTGAGCTTTATCAGGCAACTGGCCCTGTTTCTCGCAGCACGGAATCTGACTTACAACTTTGTGTGTTTTGTATTTTTCAGCACAACTTTACCATGCAGGGCCAGCGAGTGTCTGTGGACTACAGTCACATGAAGCCAAAGCTCGCTGAAGACTGGATCTGCAGCACGGTATTGTGGGGTTTTGTATCTGCTCATTCTGCAGGACGTATTGGATAAATGTTTAAATATGGCGTAATTTTATGGTTGCATAATTGTAAATGTTTTTTTTCAGTGCGGCTATCAAAACTTCAGCAGAAGAGATCATTGTTTGAAATGTGGCATTCCAAGATCATGTAAGTACTGTGATTGGTGTGTATTTACAATTACTCATGTAGCATGGTAAATTGTCCAATATTGGCCATTCTAAAACCTTTTATTGTCAATTGGTCAATAGCATTTTCTTTTGTGGATAATTTTAAGTAGTCCTAACTAATGAAACATGTTTCGCAGTAAGCCAGAGCCTATGACATGTTCTTTGTGCCTTTTTGTGTTTAGGAAATGTGATATTGTAAATTTTCTCATTGTTTTACAAAATATCACCTTTCTGTTTACAGCCTATTCAAAGTAATACAATTATATATATTCTCACATAGAATGTTGGTATGTACCTTCAATATGCTGCCTAATAGGTTAATTGTGTTCAGCTCGTCATTAATATAGTCATTCTGACACCATTATTTGAGTGTCCGCATAACCCTCGTCTCCAATTGTATTCGCCCAGTGCTTGGAGATGCGCTTCTTCCTTCTCCGTCTTCGGCTGGTCGCGATGGAACAGATGCAACAAGTGAGTGCCAGTAAGAGTGCGTTATGTGGCTTTGAAAGGTGAAGAGGTCATCACGACCACTGCCGTTGATGCAACGGCACCTCGCCATCACGCCCTTTTTGCCATTGTCCCACAACTGGTGTACAGCTGTTGCACAGTTGACAGTTCCGTATCCAGTCCGCTCTTTGGATGATTCCCATTTTCCGGCTCTTGGTCTCTCACCTGTGAGTCCTGTACTTCACTCATCGCAACATTATCTTTGTGAAAATTTGCACCATTTCTTCAGTGGTTCTTGGAAACATTTTCCAAACTAACACGTTGCTTATTTTCTTCTGTCCTTAGATTAATAGAATCATCTGTATACACCTATAATGTAATAATAATTCCTGATGTTTGTCTTAGGAGATGGACAACATTAGGTGTACTGCCTATGTTTATGGGATTCCTAATGTAAACTCCAAATGGCAGATGAGCCTCTATTTAAATTATTCCCACAACACCATAGTTGGACCCTTGATTATTATTGCATTACAAAAACACAAGTGTGTCTCCGTTTGGTTCAAGGCATCCATTCACAATGGGAAGGGGGGGGGGGGCTATGGCCTCCATCCATTGGTTCATACTGAAAACGCTGTGTCATTGTTGAAGCAATCGCTGAATAGTGTTCAGATTTTCAAGCTGTTCCTATGATGGTTTTCGTCTTCTGTGCCCCTAACAGCGCTCATCATTCGCAACCTGGGTGCACAGACAACAGTGGAGGCCATCATTCAGGCTCTCCTGCCATACGCCATGCTCACGCCCACAAACATTCGCCTCATCAAGGACCGAATGACCAACTACAACCGTGGATTTGCTTTTGTTGAGCTTGGCTCTGTGCTGGTGAGGTCCCTCGGATAATAGTCTTTTTTCACAGACATTCTGAGAGTAATATCTTCCCAGCAATGGCAATTCAAGGGCTGCTCGTGAGACAATAGATGCCCGAGCACAGCCTTTCCCAGCTGAATATAGTCATTCCCTCCGTTAACAGTGACATCGGTTAACGGTTTTTAGGTTCACGTTTCGCCTCCCTTAGGGGACCCCCATAGTTAACGCTAATATTTGATTAACGCTATATTTACATTATGCACGCGGGTGCTAATTTTGGCCAATCAGAGTCCTCGTAAGTGGGTTGAGCATGCCTCGACCAGCCGGCGACGCCCATTTATACGCGTTTAAACCTCGACTGGCTTTGTTTACATTACGTTTTCTGTTTTGGCAGTGAAAATTGCTCTCTTGCAGACTCCGTGATTTTTACCTATTCAACTTCTCGGTGAATTCGATTAACAGTTATTTCGGTTCACGGTAGTTTTCGTGGAATGGCTTAAAATCGATAACAGAGGGACTATTGTGTTACCCAGCTTATAAAAAAATTGCGTTCAATCGCAGTGTTCCTTTCAGGAAGGCCGCAGAAAACACGTTTGTTGAATATTTTATGCTTTTGCCACCCCCAAGGTCAAATTTTCAAATGTCGCGCGCTGTGCTTATGTTTTGCAGGAAGCCAGCCAGCTGCTGCAGATCCTCACAACTCTACAGCCTCCCTTGAGGATAGATAATAAGACGGTCAACGTAGATTATGCCAAGGGAAATAAAAGGTGAGAGGGAGGGATCATCGCTGGTCTGCAGTCTGTGGGTTTTTTTATTATATTTCTACTGCAACTCTTTTTGTCCATCTTGAAACACATTTTCAGCCGAACCCTTTCTTAACCATACGAAAACACTTTCCAAAAAGCGGCCTTTGCACTTCATGCAGTGAGCGCCTTTTGTTTTATCTCTGCAATGCATTGGACTGAAAGACAGAAACGTTTACGTCAGCAGACTGAGAAGCACTCTGTGAAAAGGACGATATGAACTCCAGGAGATGTCCTGTGGTGTCTCATAGAATGGATCCTAGTGAGAGCGTGTGCTGCGTAGTATTTGAGGTTCCCCTTTAGACTGCCAAAGACAGCCCGTGTAACTGCAATAACAATTGGGATGAAGAATCAATTGAGTAAAGACACCTTATCTTTAAGGAGGTACCACAAATACATTCTGACCTACAGGTTTGCTCTCAAGTGCAGTTATTGCCACAAGTGTGGAACACGCGGCTATCCTTTGATGTTTTGGCATCATCGATGTCCATTTCTTCATCACCAATTGTAGACGATTGCAGTGAACTAAAAAAAAACTACTTTAAAAGATTAACATTTCTTTACGGCTACTCTGACCATGTGGTTTTGGATGCGCGAGCGTCACGTTCACAACCCACGTCTGTACGTCGGTGTGTACATAGCGGGTCATCACCGCGTTGACAAATGTGGCACTTGCGATACCGAAGATATTTTTTTTACCCCCCACCCCCCCCCCCCCCCCGAGTCCCAGACACATACAAAACATGTAAGGGATACGAATGTTAACGTAGCTCTTAAACACATCTTAAACACAACTGCTCGTTATTTTAGGGAAGTGACTACTACATCCGTGGCAAGCCTGGCCATTGCTGCTGCTCACTGGTCTGCCACACAGGTAGGCCTGCACCACCTGGAAGATCTCCGTCGCACCTGTAACTTTGCCGACCGTTGACCTCGGTTACAGGGTTGTTATTTTCCTTATGCCTTTTGGGTAATTAAGACGGTTGCTGCGATATATATATAAAAAACAAATATATACCAAATAGCATTTCCCAAAACTTTGTAATTGAATTGTTTAGATTTTGTGCTACACTGTACGAATACAGTTTTTGCTATGGTTTTTCCGACTGCATTTAACTCTATATGCGCCACACGTAAGGCTTGTATTGCATATTTGCAATCAGTGTCACACGTGCTGTGATGAAAATTCAGTGAACTGTAAAAATTAATGCTTCATTGTCAAGCTGACAATTACTCAGAAAATGTTTTGCTATTTAGTGCCAACTTTTCTTTCACTTTTTCAAGACCTATTTTGTGAGGAAATAAAAAAAAATTTGGATAAAATGAGCAATAATCTGAAGATTTAAAAAAAATGGACAACAGAAATATTGCAAATCTTACATACTATTATATCTTATCGCTATATCGTGGCAACCCTAGCAATAAAACAACAAAATGTCCGTTATTCTCTGCACATTAAAGTGTTTTGTTAGTCCATCAGCCTTTGGGCTTCCAGAAGAGATTACCCATCAGCATTTGGTTATGCAAGCAAACTGGACTGGTTTAGGACATTTTGGGTTTCATCATCATATGCTCTGTAAGAAATGCAAATGGGTTGCTTTGCTCCCAACTTCACAATGGGTCCTATTCAACCCAGCAATGTTGTATGTGGAGATTTGTGTGAACATAAAAACTAGTACAGAGTTTGGTTGCTTAAAACATGCTGCTGGATAATACTGCTCCAAAGGTCCATATAACGGTCCATGGGGTGAATAAGTGAGTTAATTTGGTGTGGAGAGACGCCAACGGATGTTACATTTCCCCAAAAACGCTCCAGAATACAAAATTAGGTTTTTTCTTGTGTTTGTGTTAATTTTCTTGTTCTTGTCACTTAATAAAATACATCGAGAAGCAGTGCAGCTCTTGATCAACCAGAGTAAAGATTTACTTGGGCCATAACTAATACTTTAGCATAATATGCTATTTAGTTAAAAAATGCTTTTAACTTGAGGTTTTTACATGTTCAACCGTGCTAATCCAAGGTACATGCATTATTTAAATGCCGGATACATTCGCATTGGTATATGTATTTATCTAAACATCCTATTTTCAAAGAACCTATCTACGTGACTTTACCGAAAGACCCAAAGAATATGAATTCCTGCAGTCACGAAAGCTTTAAGTCAAGATGTATCTAAACATCCTATAAAATGGGTTTTATTCAACCCTTTTGTGTGTGCTGGGACTCCGAGAGAAAAGGAGTAGAAGCCGGGAATCCACTCCTTGGTGGGAGTGTCTACATTAAAACCCTTTCATACTTGTGTGACCATTTACTTCAGCCATACAACTCTTTTTTTTTTTTTAGCCAAACTAAAAAAAATATTCCCCGCTTGCTTTATCTTATTCCCGATTTTTAAAACGTTGCTCCCCGGTAAGAAGGCATACAAAATTAACTCGAGTAGAGGTGACGGGGGGGGGGAGGCGTTTTGTTTGAATCGCAACTATGCGTCATTGATTGGAGGAATGGTCTGTTTATATTTTATAAGGGGAAACCCAACGTAAGCAGTTGTCATTTAAAGTGAGGGTGATGTGTGAATGTAATTCGTAGTCTTAATTGCTCGTCACGAATGACTCGTTTCACTCAAACATTATGTTATGCTTAAAGAGAATAACTAGGTCCCAATCCACAAATATTTTTAATTGCCTATACAATGTGTTATTGGACCTTATTTAAGCGCTAACCTGAATATGCCTTAAGCAACCTATTTGTCTTGCATTGACAATAAAAATTAAGAGTAATTCTTTTGAGGTGGAGCTGTGGCACGGTTCTTGGTGAATTGCAACTATAAGCCCAGCAATTTATTTCCATTTCCCCAGACCCAGCTAACATGTGACAAGTGTAATCTGAACCAGTGCTGGGCTGTGCCTTACATAGACCTGTACTGACTAACGTGGTGATGTATGGTCAAACAAAATCCCTGTGACTTGACATAGCATGAGGAGTCTTCATACAGTTGTGGATTGACTTGAGGGCTGAACATTTTTGTTATTACATGGTTAGTGGTTTCTTTCCAATAACGGATTACACTCCACAGGACACGTGAAACTATTCTATTTTTTTCCTTTGTGTTTTTTACTGTTATGTTTTCCTGAGCAAAACAACCAGTTGCAGGCTTGACATTCCCAAAGAAAAACTGCTGCACCCTCTTCCTGTATCCTACCGTTGGTGAAGTCTACGTCTTGCTAAAACTGCGCAAATGCTAATCGTGCCTAACTGTGTGTGCTGCTGTGTTTAAGGCTCCGCATGGCTCTGACGCAGCTTGGGCAACACCTGAGGCCCAGCAAGCAAATTACGCCTTGTTCCTGAACGGACAGCACCCCAACTACATGCAGTATGGGGAGGTATGGACACTCCGCAACAACTCTCGAGCACATTCCTCCTCCGCACACAGTTTCGAGAGGAGTGGGCGGTAGAGGTGGGGCACAATGCTGGAAAATTAGCTGCAAATGATTCGATTGGAATTGCACGCAGCAAGTTCGACCCCGACTGTAAAAATGTGTCCAGGACACACCTGTTAAGCACTCTTGGGACGCTAGCGAGGCTCACTTGGCAAACGGTTCTAATAAATCAGCAATTGGCATAGATGGAAACAGTCCTTGACACAAACATGTCAATTAAAAAAAAAAATTTGGTGTCCTTATTTTTATACCAGAATAGTTTTGTCGTACATAACTAAGTCTGTTTTTAGTGCTCGCATGAATCACTCCTAAACTATTGTTTAGGAAATAAATGTGTGTTTTTGTGTGCCTAATTAAACAGGCGTACGGAGATTACAGCCAGTACTACCAACAGGCAGCAGCCGACCCGAACCAGATCGTCGCAGCAGCTTTGGCGATAAAAAATGCTTCTGCAGCCAACGGTAGGAATAACACTTGCGCAGCAACCACCGTGCGCGTTGGTGTCTGTTGTAATTTATGTATGTACATTGAACTCCTTTCGCACCGTACATAACGAGCCGTGCTAATCGGAGGATGCAACCCAAAATACAGGCTGTAAGCCAAAATACAAGCGATCCCAGGCTGATTGCCAGTAGCTTGAAGGGTCTTCAGTGGTACGTGGTCTAAAGTTAGTCTAAGCACCATTATAGCACGTTGGTGATGGCACTTGATCAAAACTATTTTGGTTGTGTTGTCTCTTGAGCAATTCTCGTCTTTGTAATGAATGATCGCAAAGCAATTAAGTTATTACTACACATCTATATACATGTATGATTTTGTACATTGTGTACGTGCATAAATATATGCACAGCGTATAGTTAACAAATAGAGAACTGAACAAGCATTTCCTATAAGCTCTGACAATCAGGAATCCCAGACTTCTATGATGATGTACCATATTTGATACGTATATATCTCCTGTTTTGCTTTTTCTGCTTGTGCTACTTTGATCATTATTATTGTAAAGTGTATTGGCGTCAATTTCTAGTTTGCAAACGTAAACTCATTTGTAGCTTTTAATGTGTTTGTAGCAGTGCTTGGCACTGTCGCAGCGGGGATTGCAGCTCAACAATCCGCAGCAGCACAGGCAAGTGGTGCGGTAAGTCAGAGCCTGGTTGCCAACTTACATTGACCTCTTTACTTGAGCCTGCTGCCCGACAATTCTTCTCTGGAGGCTATATAGGTTTTCTATAGGGAAAAGAGATCGTATGCCTTCTACAACAAATACTGCGATTTTTTTTTTGCCCTTTATACCTTTTTAACTCCTTTTTTAAATGTTTCAATATTATTGCAGGTTGGCATTCCAACGCCAATTTTGCAGCATAGGAATGGCTGCCACTGGGGGTTCCCTTGACTAAACTGTGATGGTTGAGATGTGATGCAAGGGCCTTTTAGATGCTTGAGGCATTTTCAGCACCATATAAATATTAAATCCTTATACTTCTAGTTGTTGACTAATTAACAAAATTCACTTATTCTGGGCACTGCAAAGGGTACACTTTGGTAGTGCCGTCATTGAAATCCTTATGCGACTGGAAACTCAATCGTTCTGTGTACATTTCAGGCACATGAATCGCTGCCTAAACCGAGAGTTGTGTGTGTGTGTGTGCGCTCCTTTCTTAGCGCGTGGCTGCAAGCACGGCGCAGGAATCGACCTCCAGTGTGGCAGCGGCGGCATCCATGGCGCAAGCGAGCACCACCCATGCCACTCCCGCCGTTCCCGCTCCCACTGGAACGCAGCCTTACCAGAAATACCGTGAGTGCCCTCGGCTGCCATGTGTCCGATGCTGGTGTCTAACCAGTAGGAGTGTAACAATGCGCCCATCTTGGAAGTCAATAGTCACCATATCTCCGATTTAGCAAAGCTGGCTACGTTACGGTGCAAAAGAAGTTCAACGCGCGTACAGGATCGCGATTCGGTTCAAGAATATAGTTTTTGCCATCATGTTGAATGTATTGGCGTCCAGTGACTTAAATGCAGGGTTTACATGAAACAATCGCATTTAATATCTCATCATCATCAGCCATGGGCAGTTCAAAGCTGGATTAAGGCCCCCTCGCCAAGCCGCTTGGCATCTCACAATCCTGAAACTGGACATGACTCAAATTATTTCTTCCACGCCTGAATCAATGGATTAGTTCTGAGTGTTAGAATCGGTTTTAATTGAATTGTTATATGCCTACTAAACAGCGTTACCAGTTGTGGTGCTTGCAACCAGTGAATGAGCACCGTAGTTACGCACTTGCTTTATATGCCTGCAACCTGCTCTGGGTCTGATTTGTGAGCGTCAACTGGCGATTGGTGCAAAGTAGTCTCCATTTGCCCTGGAATAACGATGTACTGCTTGCTTGTGATTGCCTGTGTTTGTCATTTCAGCTGTCCCTGATGTGTCAACATATCAGTATGACGAGTCTTCTGGCTACTACTATGATCCTCAGATCGGCTTGTACTACGATTCCAGCTCCCAGGTAGAGCACTCTACTTTACCTTGAATATATTTTATTGGCCTACCCAACTTGTCACTCAGCCTTTGTAGCACATATTGGTATCTGCTTGTTAAGTGTAATTGAATAATGATAATGACGTTTCATGTTGTGTAACTAAAAAAACTATATGCACTGAAGTTTGATTAAACGTATACTAAGTTTCAGTGTAATAATCTACGAAAGCCCGAGTTGATTTTTACAGGAAGATGATTGTAAATATTTAACAAAGGCAATTTTCTAGAGGCAAAATTAGCTAACAGGCTCTTGCAGCCGATCCTGGAGTGGTTTTCCTGTATAATGCTTCCACCTGCTGCCTGAACTTGGAATTTGCACTAGATCATTCAGTGGTGTGTACAGTACCTTGTGTGAAGCTGTGCTTGCCTTTTACTGAGAAGCAATTTTAGAAAAGGATTCTGTAAATCTTGATTTGAAGCTTTCGTGACTGCAGGATTCCATACTCTGGTTCTTTCGGTGAAGTCACGTAGGTAGAAAAATTAAATAAAATACAAAATAATATTTTTTTAAATTTTATTTTTCTACCTACGTAATATTATTTTATTTTTCAACCTACTTGACTTTACCGAAAGAACCAAAGATTCTGTAAATGTATATATGTGTCTAACCAGTTATTTACTTTAATTACACGCACATATATCCTAATGTTGGTGCATGAGAAAGAGATTGAAGTTTTGAATCAAGGGCTGTCGCAAAAGCCTTGACGTGACTTCCCATACATCGCTTTCCATTCTGTATCGCCATGTAAAAATAAATATCCTAGGATAATCAGCCTATTGGTTTCCAAGTCTTGAGTTGACGTGTGCTGAGCTAATGGACACCTGTAGGGGGCAACCACATAAAACAGGATATGTTATTTTGGTGGGGGTGTGACACGCTTGTGAAATGTCTTGCAGTATTACTACAACTCGCAGACGCAAGAGTATCTGTACTGGGATTCGGAACGGCAGACCTACCTGCCAGCTTCGCAGCAGCAGCAGCAGCAACAGCAGCAGCAACAACAGCTACAACTTCAACAAAGCACGGAGGAAGGGAAAGACAAAAAAGACAAGCCAAAAACTAAAACTGCACAGCAGGTGCTTTGCTTTTTTTATGTTTACAAAAAAATTTGGTGCTTGTTGAGTATAATTTTAGTTTGCCATTATTTGTAATGGCCAGTGACATTCTTAATGTAGTTAGGTGATGGTATCTGTCATACATGCTCATTCTCTGCGTATGTTTTACCGTGGCATTTTTGTGTCCGGTTTAAAATTTTAGCCACAGTCATTGGTTTGTACACTCGCACAATATTTTTTTTAAATTTTACTCCTATAATGTATGGATATTTGACATGCATTGTAATTGTTAGCCTGATGAAGGTTTCAAAATGTCAGGTGATGGTCGTTACTAAAATAGTGGCCTTTGTGGAGTTAGACCAGTTAGTTTGGAATGGGGTTTGATTTGCAAGTTGCTGTCATACCGGATCCAAAACACACGGTGTCTTTGACCTAGCGGCAAATAGACCACGGCTAACCTGCATTCCGACACTTGCCCAGATCGCCAAGGACATGGAAAAATGGGCCAAAAGCCTCAACAAGCAAAAGGAGTTCTTCAAGAACAGCTTCCAGCCGGTTGGGGCGGGCGGCAGAGATGACGAGAGGGAGTCTGCCTCTGCGGACGCGGGCTACGCGATGCTGGAGAAGCGGGTGAGGATTGACGCGTGGAGGGGCTCACTCGCTGTGCGGTTACATTGTTCACTTACACCTGCAGTGTGGAACTAAAGTTGGCATTTCAAAGGATTATTTCAGACGTTACATCTTCCGATTTTTTTGTACTAATTACATGTCTTGGTGCAAACAAGTGTCGTCACCTGAAGCAACATGATGCACGGAAGCGACCGTGGTACTTTAGTTTAATGACAGCACCTGATTCTTGTTTTGAAAAAAAAGAATGCCACGTTGTCGTCGTCACATGGGCAGAAGCTACCTTTCCACAACATCTCCGTTAGGTCTATTGGGCCCTCCTGCTTATCTGGTTTTAATACAGTCAAGTGAATATGGTCAAGACCTCTCCCATTACTAACAGTGGGGAGGCCATCATGCTGTAGTGGATTGACAAAGGGCTGTGAATTCCTTTGTAAGAATTCGTTTCTTTAATATTTTTTGATACAGTAAAGGATTAATACTTTCCATGAACTTAAGTAAGGGCTAATACGTTGACAATTTCTGTGCAATCGTAGGTGATCTTATTAAGGTTTGAAATTACATAGATCCCTCCTTTTTATAGCTCCCTTCCTTACTCCCATGCTCCTGGAGCCTCATGTTCTGCGAGATAAGAAATCGCTGTTGGCAGGAGTCTACCAAATGTGTGCTTGGTGTTGTGTGCGTTTGTATTTTTCAATGGGAATTAAACATGAAAGTGACCTTTTGTGCCGTGTGATGGCAACTGTTTACAGGCCACACAGAATGACAGGCAGCTTGCTGTTTTGAATCAGCTTCAAAAAATTATCGAGAAAAGAAACGATGAAGACACAGAACCGGTAAGCGTGCATTATACATTACTCTTTAAATGTGAAGTTTGTTGTCCTTCCCCCCCCCGCACCTCTGTGTAGAACGATTGGTTACGTACGGTGCGAAAGAAGTTCTACATGCATAATTACAGAAAAGCAACCTTTAAATATTGATAGCACTGCGAAGAAAAGTTGATACAAATTTGTGTTATTATTACTATTGTTTAAATAAATACAGGAAAACATTAGTTCTGCTAATAACTTTTATGGAAAATGTATTCTATTTAAAAATGTAAACTGCTGTGCATTTTATCACAACGGTGCATTGTAAACCACTTCTTTAAATAATGCTTTGGTTTGCGTTTTTGAGCCTTGACCAGTTGTACCGACTCCCAAAGATCTGCTCGTATGGTCCAATGTAACTTGTGGTTTAGCGGAATGGATAAAATTCTGGGAAATCTAGTGCTGGGCGTAAATTGTTTCATATCTATAAAGAACCATTTTGACTTTCGGGATTTTTCTCCATGAAACAATATTTTCACACCAGGAAGAATAATTTTGAAAGTGACAATACATTTTTTTTTGGGTTTCATGCATTGCATGGGATGGCTCCCATTTAATAATGAAAATTCTAGTTTTTATACATTAAAGCATGCGTGTTTTGCTAGTTGCGTCACGTGAATATAAATGCTGCAGAGTTATTTATAAATTGATGTAATGCGCAAAAGTCGTGCATCACATGAAATAAAAACATTTAGATATTATCAGGCAATCTTTGTCGATAAATATATTTTTTTAACCATGTTTTCCAATGTAAACCTTGGATTTGGGTTGAAATTAATAGACTGGAAATGCAAATATTTTTATTGCACTACTTTTTTCTAAGCCGCCCTTGCAAAATACGAACGTGGGTGTTTGAATTACGAAAATGTTAAAGATGCTGGCATGATATGGTTTGGGGTGAGAACAGGGAGGGAATGAAAGTAAAAGTTATGAACAAAGAAAGAGCAACATTTCTGGCGTTGGTATTTGTTACCAAGCTGCAGCGTGTACAAAATTCTTTGCCACGTGACGGGTACTGCAAGATCCGACCGTGTCCGTGCAGTGCTTGCTGAGCTGGTATTGGCTTGCGGTTGCCAAACTAATACATGGTAAGGTCGCAGTCTTTGCACACAAAGCGCTTTGCGCAAAATGAACCACAATACCTTGCTGATCTTGTCATCGGGCATAAACCATCACGCAAACTCCGGTGATCCTTGCAGCAACAGCTTTTGGCGAACCACCGAACAAAGATGGTCACTGCATTGTGCGCGCTTACAAATGCACCTATGGCCATCATCTTTAGAATGCTCTACCTTCCGATATTAGGAAACCACTGGAGCTATACACTTTAAAATTGAAAACTAATTTCTTTAGAAGTGCTTTTTGTATTTAGTTTATCGTTCCCCCTCACATCTAAATATCACGGTTGGCTATGTACGGTGCAAAAGAAATTCTACATGCAGCCCAGGGACCACCAATACAGATGTCACCGGTTCGATTCAGTTTCCTGACGTGGCTCTTTAAGGACCGTTTCCCCTGACCTCATTTATTAAGGACCACCGTGTCTCGTATGAACGTGCATTTCGGCTCTTGATGTATTGAGTTTGTTACTCGATTCCAAAAAAAAAGTGTCTTGTTATTTTGGTCTGCCGACCCCCTGGCCTAGAGAAGTACAGGATTGACATGAGGCAATTGGCGAAGGAAGTTGACCTCCCTGTTACAGCCCCCGCCTGTTTTTTTTTTTGAAGGCCACCGCTGTTGTTCCTCCACAGGCGGATTCGGATGCAACGCTCGTGGCTTCTTACGGCGGTGGCAGCGACAGCGAGGAGGACAACTCGGCAGAGGCGCGCGAGGAGAAGCTGACGGACTGGGTGAAGCTGGCCTGCCTGCTATGCCGCCGCATGTTCCCCAGCAAGGAGGCCCTCCTGCGCCACCAGCAGCTCTCGGACCTGCACAAGGTGACGACGGCCCCCCCTGTCGGCGCCTGCTTGCGTGCGCGCAACGCTTGCCCTTCCCAGTGGTGCCGTGCCCCCCTCTGGCTTTTGGCCGCCATAGGCTCCGGTGTCCTTCCCACCAAACTTTGTTACGTGCAAGATGGTATTGTGTGTACGTATGTTTGAACCTCTTTGGGGCACCGTGCCTAGCCCGACCGGGCTAATCGGAGATGCCGGAGGGGGTAGAACAACGTGATTTTGTGTGCGTGTGACAGTGAACTGCAGCTTAATGAGCCAACACCATTTTTTTTACAGATCAACAAAAAACATTCCGACTGGAATTCTACCCCAGCCCTCTGTTGACCTTTCATTTAATTCACTTCCAATCTGGAAGGTCAATTCTAGTTTTTTTTTTCTGTTTCCACTGCACAACGTTGTCATGTGATCTGTTCTGTGGCTCTTCCAGCAAAACTTGGAACAACACAGGCGATCCAAAATGACTGCTGCTGAAATAGAAGAGATGGAAAAGAAGGAACGCGAGGTAGGCCTTTAACACGGGGATGATCCCAACGCAAGCCAAATGAGAGAATCCACCCGAGAGGACGTGCAGCGCGGAGATGGAGCGATGAAATCAGCGCTTGCGAAGGAGCTAGATGGTTTGTTGCATTGGGAGATTGTGTGAGGATAGAAGATCGTTTTTGGAGACCATTTATGAGTGGATAGATATGGCTACGGATGAGTTGAGATGAAACCAGACGGCATGTTTGAGAATGTGTAAAGTTGTAGGAAATGCAAAATATGTTCATGCTTCGCAAAATGTAATTCCATTGATTTTAAAATAGCAACATGTTTTATACCTCGCCAGATTTGTTCCATTAATGTTACATTTAATGAGTTTTGGAATTGGAAATAAGTATGTGGGAGTAGTAACTGCAAGGCAAGAATAAACAACTTTATTAAACAAAAGTCAGTGTTTGATCAAATACATAATGTGAATTTTAAACACGGTGTGCTATTTCAAGGGAATGCATAAAATTTTAGGAACCTAATTTAGGCTCTGTGCATTCTAATAAAGGCAACAATAGTATTTGCACAATCTTGATGTCCATGCTGTTAACACTGAACTGTGTAGATGTGTCATATCGACCAGTTATGCATTTGTGCTCCTTCCTAAATACTCTGCAGTCCTACCCTACAGGCAGTTGACCGTTCTATTCCTGTTCACGTAAGAAGTCAAACCCGTTCTCTGCACTGGCTGGACGTTTCTGTAAGCAAAAGCTACATGGACTGTTTCTATGCAAGGATGGAGATTGAATAATCGTTTTTTTTCTGTTAAATTAAAGGCAAAATACCGGGACCGTGCAGCTGAGAGGAGAGAAAAGTACGGGATTCCCGAGCCCCCTGAGCCAAAGAAGAAGAAAGTGGTCCCAGAGCCCACGATGTAAGAACAACGTCATGTGCCGCTTTAATATTCTACGACTATTCACTCGTAACGGTGGTCCGCACTGGCGTTCCTTCACAAGTTGGGTCAGGTGACACAATTGCTCTGACTTCTCAGATGTCGTCCTGAAGACGCGTGGCATAGTTTCAAGCGAAACGTCACATCCGATTGCCAAAGTTAGTTGACAGTTGTTATTCGTTTTGCCGGTAAGCTCGAATAATATTAGTTGAGTTAAACGCTTAAATGTGTGACACATTGCTTGGCTATGTCGGATAGGGGGGTAGGGGTGGTATTTCAATACAAATTTAGCTTGATAAATTACGTTCCCTCATCCCAAATTCAATTCACTCGATCCCTTTTGTATTCACTACACGCTAGTAACGATAGTGATCGCTAGGTGACACATGCACTGAATGTTGCTTATATAACTTAAACGCTAACAAAGCCAGTAAGGAGGGGGGAAGGTATTGCACCAGAGTAGCTGTTTCCTAGTGAACATTCAAAGAGCAATACAAGTGAACAGTGTGGAGCTTGGCACATGTATATTTATACTTACATATTTATGGGTATAGGTGGGATCGCCTCTAGTTGTTTCAGAACACTGGCAAAATAATGCAATGTATAATTTTTAATGAAAAACCAGACTGACTTGCATAAGGAGACCATCATGCAGCATTCTATTGACAAAGTGCTGTAAAAGAGAATTTTGCTTGTACAATGTTAATTTGTCATTGTGTTATAGAAGTAGCAAAGTACTGAATGTATTTTATTTCTAATACTCAATGACTACAATCATTGTGGAAGCATTCAACTGCATATTCATGTTTCAAGGTGTAAAAAAAATACTATTGTATGCATGTCCGAACTTCTTTTGCACCGTACGTAGCCAACCGTGCTCATGTTGGGACATCTCTTGATGCATTAAACCCCCCCGTCTAGCATTCTTGCCACATTTACAGTTTTCAAATAACTCTGTTAAACGTTGGTCAGCATTGCAAGGCCGATGTTGACGTAACTGGTCCAATTCTCACTTGCTCGCAGTGACTACGAACAACCAACCAAAGCTGGCATCGGTGGTGACAATATTGGCAGCAAGATGCTGCAGGCCATGGGCTGGACGGAGGGCAGCGGCCTGGGCAAGAAGCATCAAGGCATCACGCTTCCCGTCGAGGCAAGGACCTTGCACTTTTACTACACCAGTCCAAAATCGAGTGATTTCCTGCCCATATGTGCATCGAGGTGGTGATCATAAATCCATGAGCCAGTGGTGGAAATTCTGCATTCCTGTGATCGAGGTGAGTCTATAGAAAACACATTGTTGATTTCCCCACAAAATGGGATGTATTTTATTGACCCCAGAGGCTTGAGCTGAGTCAACCCCCAACCAAGATTTGAATTGGCCACCCTCGAATGTCAACCACTTGCTGAGCTGCCTAACCAGATTCCGAACTGGGCATAATTATTGACACGTTTGCTTTATTTCAACAATTTTTTTGGTCACAGCATCTGGTTCACCGATCACTTCAGCTACCTCGGTGTCATCCTAGATTCAACTTTATGCTTCGACCGTCAAACCATTCATATCATCAGTTCATATAAATTTCACCTGAAGGCTCTCGGACACCTACGTCCTCTCACCTCCACTGAAACTGCCAACACATTGGCATGTTGCATAGTTGGGTCTCTCCTCGACTATTGCAACTCCGTCCTAGTCCGGTGCTCCTCTGGCAACCTAAAAAACTTCAGACTACAAAACAACCTGGCACGCGTCGTCATTGGCCGCACTCATCCCCGTCTCGACGCACTTGGCCTCTCTCCGTGCCCTCCACTTGCTACCCATTGCCAGCAGGGTCACATACAAGATCGCCTGCCTCTGCCTCTCTTCATTATTGACGACTTGCAGCGCAGCACACGGCAGATGCCTTCGCAGTGCGACTCACGACCTCCTCTTGATACCAAGATCCGGGATGGTCACGGCTATGCGCCACTTCTCGGTGGCTGCCCCGACAGTCTGGAACGCAATCCCTCTGCACATTCGCAGCATCATCTCAATCGTCTCCTTCAAGAGACTCTTACAAACTCACCTCTATAATTACGCTTTCGAGTGACTCTGAGCTTGGCTCCGCGCCTATGAGTTTCGGCCGTTACGTCCGCAAATTTGCGCGCGTTATAAATTGGATTATTATTCATTCAGGAGACCGGTTACAGAACATCGCCTGGAAATGTAAGGGGTGTGCCGGCTTGTGACCATAATTGTATCCCACTCAACAAAAATACATGACTAATTTTGTCCTAAAATTCTAGATGAATTGTGATCCCCTGTACATAATTTTAAAGGTGCCTACTCTGTAAAGGTGACGTTATTGCTCAGGCTACTTGCTGCATACTGCATGGCTATGGCTGGGTCTTATCTCAACTTCCTGTTGGATGTTTGTAATCTAGATGTTCGTTTAGTTGGCGCGACTGCTCTTTATACTTTTAAGTTGGCAAGCTTGTGAAGGCTTTTAAGGTCTGCAAAACATGGGAATATAATCGAAAGCTGTGCTTGTCCTCTTGGGGAATTCTTTGACTTGTATAAATGTGTGCCTCTTTACCCAGAGCACCAACTGCACAGCTTGGTATTATTACTCCAAAAGCAGAATTTCACTTTTAAATAACTGTTATGTGGAATACCAATTTACATTTGAATCCAATGTCATTACCCGGTTTGTGTATCAGCTGATGCACAACTATGCTCGAATATATTGAGGATTTTCAGATATGGAAAGTGAAGTCCGTGGGTGGCTCGCAGGGATTGAGGTTAAAAACCACTGGCCAAGATCACCGAACCACTCACGCCCAAACATTTCCTAGATGGAGTTGATACCAAGTGCACCAAATGGTACATATTTTGCCCTCAACGGCTGGATAAGAATGCAAACGTGTTATTTTGAGCCATTTGTAGATTAGTTGACTGGCTTTTCACAATCATGGTCCATTTTAAATTGGTGAGATCCCATTTATTTTTATTTGCAAGGAATACAAACTTTTTAAAATCTTTGTTTGAAGTACATGCTGCGATGGACCTCAGAAGTGGCTTTTGTCCATTTGGTAGCAGTCTAATGTTTAGTTAAACTCCTTTCCGGTAACGCACTTTCTGTGGGAATAAAAACTGACTGGGGGTGACCTTGCTGACTGCCAAGCACTCCAGCCAGATGAAAAATTGCCGATTAATAATTTCGCACAACTAAATTGTCAGGCTTCACCAGGCGAGGTGACATGTATCCTACGCCGAGGCAGTCTTAGACCGGCAGAGCCGACGAGCTCTCTCTTTCACTTGAATGCCCTTGAGAATTGTGCAGCAGCTGCTGTTGTAAACAAGATTGTGTGTTCACAGCGTTCGTAGAGGTTTGTGTGTGGGTGTTTAAATGTGATCGCACGAGATGCGCCCGCACGTGCGCGTGGACTTGTGGTGCCTGTGTGCCTGTGTGCGTGCCTGATGCCTGTGTGGTTTGTCCAGATGTCGAAAAGTGAGAAAATACACGAGGCCCCATTACCTTACATTGGCCTATAGTCAGCAATCTGAAAAAAAAAAAAACTTTAACAAATATGTATTTTACCAGGTAAGGCCCATTAAGCTATCGAGCTCTTTCAAAAGCAACCTGGCCATAAATGATAGCTCAAATAAATGTATCACGTGGAAATGTACAGCAGCCAAATACTCTAAACGCATGTTTCTAAATGTGGATAGTTAACTTGCGTTCAAAAACCTTGAACCGTCATACATTAAGCTAATATTGTGATAACTTTCAAAATGAACAAGTTAGAAACTTTAAGCCATTCATTGTTATAAAATGTCTGAAGCACAACCGTGGTATGCCCATTAAAATAAAATGACTTAAATTTTGGCTAATAAATAGAATCAAGAAGTCCTTTATTTGTATAATAATTTGTGAAAACCCTCGCATACAGAGCCCATATTGCTTTGTTTGTATTGTGCAGTAGATTTGTTTTCCGTATGTTGAAAACCCGCGTTATATCAAATGTGTTTTCAAGAGAAAAAAAGGTCATTGTGGTTGTATTTGCGTTGGCAGTCGTGGGATAAGGCGTCCGTACGTGCTGGTAACTTTGAGCCGTATCAGGGACTGCACTTTGAAATTGTTGCAATCATACTCCCGCTGAAATTAAATTGTCAACCGCGAGCCTGATGTGTACCAGTTAAGGCGTTGTTTTTACCTTCTCGTTTGTAAGCAATTACCCTTGGCATGTTTATTATAACATGTTTATTATAGCATTAGCAACGCGGACGTTCAGCGTCGTAAATTATATAAGCTGCACTTAAGAAATAAATATATTTTTACAGTCTCCTTTATGAAACTGAGAATTTTACACCTTGTATTAGAAAATTAGCAAAACAACATCGGTGTGAATAACAATGACTTTTATGTTAGACAATTGACCAAAAAACTTTTCAATAGTTAATATATGCTTCATTTTAAAGGTTCCTTTCAGTTAAGCACCGGTAGAAATATGATTCGCACAAAGTTTTGCAAGTTTTGCAATGCAACCATGCAATTGTCTATGCCGTAGTGGTCAGTGGATTCCAACATACTCGTACGGTTCATACAGAATTGCCACAGTAGTGACTACAAGAGAGAACATGTATTTACAACATTTTTATTAAAACAAAATTCCGTAACGTTTAATTTTGAATTTGTGAAGAAAAATAATGTAATTAAACACGGCGTTAGACGTATTTGTTGACTCGGGTCACCGCAGACACTTGTTCACACAGCTCACCGTTGTGAAAGAGACTTGCCATCTCCCATGGGTAATGGGTAATATCCAAATATACAGGGCACCAAGGTGGCGAGATGTTAACTACCCCGCCTGGTACACTGGAGGTCGTGGGTTCGATCCAGAGCCTGACGCCTGTATATTTGGAGTTTGCGTGTCTCTCTCCCCGTGGTCACGTGGATTTTTATCCGGGTCCTCTGGTGTTTCTCTCCGCATTTAGAATCGACATCACGCGTTTCGAGTATTCGGCTGCAATAAATGTCCACGTGATAAGCCACTTCGTTGAGCTGTAAATTGTGGCAAGGTCGCTTCTGAAAAAGAGCTGTATAGCTCGGCGGGCCTGACCTGGTAAAAATAAAATAGTTCATTTTTATATCAGCTGGTAAAGCAAATGTTTCTTGTGCTTGGGTCTTAATTTCACCATGATGTAGCTGCTGTACAGCACAGTATGCTCTAGTTTGATCAATACAGTGCCTCTGAGAAACAAATGTCCATATTGCTTCTGATGCACACCCTTAGCCATATTGCTTCAATACCAAGTCCCACCAGCCTGTGCTTTATTCGTATTGCAAAAATATTCTGCCGCAAATATACTCTCCATTGTCGGTAATAGTACTGATTGTAGTTTATGCAGAAAAAAAGGTATGCATTTTTTGGCAATACACATGAATGTGATGTTAATACAGAATAAAACGTGTTATGGCATTAGAAAATGTTAGGGTTTTCACCCCATTTATAAAAATCCAAATTACCACTGCTATATTTTATTGACATATGTCTCAGCCACCCCTGATTACACTTTACAGTTTGGTTACATTTGGTATCGCCAAAGGCTCCCCATGATGATTAGCCGGAATGCTCGCGTCCTAACGGCAAGCACGCTCGGCCATCACTGTGCTTGAATGTGAGCGTGACTGCTTTAAAATGCCCGACGGGAAGTTGGGGCAGGGGGGGGGCGGTGGTGGCGGGACAGCCTGTGCCATTTTCGAGCTTGACATGTTCCCATAAGAGGATTTTTTTTGTGGGGAGAAGGGGGGTTAGATCGTTTAAATATAAATGTTAAACCCATCACTACCCGACGCAGCCAGTTGGTAAGGTTTGTCGTGTAAACAAAACGTGCCAATTCGTTACAAGTACAGCACACCGGTGTGTTGGAGACTAGTGAACCCGCAACATTTAAAAATCGAGTACCGTTTCGCGGGTAATTACAACGAGTACACGGATTGTCGTGTTCTCTTTTCGTGAAAAAAAAAACCTTACTAACGGGCTGCGTCGGTTGATGGCGGGTTTAACGGCTCGCTTCTATTTACGCGCTGTTACCCAAAAAAAATAACCTGCCCGATTTTTGGGGTCGCCAAAGCCTTGGTGTTAAATTTGCCGCGTGCCCCGTCCGCCCTTGTTCCACCGCAGGCCAAGAAAAGAACACAGGGCGCTGGACTCGGGGCGAGGGGCGCCACCTACGGCGCCTCGGCAGCAGACACTTACAAGGATCAAGTGCGCAGGGCCATGATGGCGCGCTTCAACGAGATGGAGTAGTCGAGGTTACGGGGCGCCTGGAGCCGCTGCCGAGGGCCCGAATGTTTGCTCCGTTTATACTGCGCGGCATTCATCGCCAGGGAGCTTTCGCGACGGGATGCTAGAGATCAATAAGAATGGAATTCCAATGCTCGGCGACGTTTATCAAGACGCCGTGCGACACACCGTATGCCGGGGGGGGGGGGGGGGCGCGGAACGAAACCTTGTGTGCATGTTGCAAAAATAACTTGAGGAAGAAAAAAAAAGGCCAAATGCCAACGTAAGTTTCTGAATCGGCATTTCGAATTTGCTTTTTGCGGGGTGAGGGGTGGGGGGCGTGAAAGGTGGGGGAACTTTGACAAAGCGTACAGACTGCTTTTGAAAATGTCGATATTGAATGATGCCCCCTGAGCAAAGTGTAGGCATATTCTTTTTCATAGTTTGGCTCGTGGGTGGTATATAAATTAACATAGTGAAATCTAAAACAATTCAGGTAATCGGCTGATACGAGAAATGTTTTGTTATCTGTTTAAAGAAAGTTACACGTTGTGGTGTTGGCATAATTATTTTCCTCCAACAGAACCTTGCTTGAAAATGTACCATATTTTTTCGTAGAAATTATAGTTTATGCATCTGTTCTTCATCTTGTAAAATGTACCGTGTACATTTTATATACGTTGCATTTGTTAAATGTTGTATATATGTAAATTACCGTTGTGTTCACGATAGTTAACCATTCTCTTTGCATTTTCTGTAATTTTCCTTTGCGAGTTATGTCCAAGTCTTTTTGTTAAACGTATAGACAATTGTGCTGCACGTGCTTGCCAGCACTTAAGGTGGTCCAGCCATGTGAAATAGCTTTGAACTCATGTCTTGAAAAACAAAAATATGTTTGAGTTAAGGTGACACTGGTGTGTTTACCAAGATGTACTGCGTGGCATGTCAGGCAAACCTGTTTGTAACTTAGTAGTCGGAGATTTTTTTTATTTAAAACAATACCACAAATGCTTTTGATCTTTAATCATGTTCACCTAGTTCTTTGTCAGAGTGCTAATAATGTCTTAGAAACTCCAATACAACTTTTTACATGTTTTTTTTAGTCCTGTTAACAAAACATTTTTGTTTGGAATAAATTTCAATGTTTGAAAAATAAATCCACAGTTGTGTATATTTGTTGACTTTTTTTTACAATTGTTTTATTTTACCAGGTGTAAGGCCCACAGCTACTATATAGCTCTTTTTTCGGCGACCTGACCACAAATGATAGCTCAACCAAGTGGGTTATGTTGAAATTCATAGCAGCCGAATACTCTGAAACGCATGTTTCTGATGTGGAGGGAAAAACCGGAGGACCTGGATATAAAAAAAAAATCCACTCGACCACAACAAGCAAAAATTCCCCAACGTACGAACAACTTTCTGGCAAAAGTGTGCAGACGAATCCTGCAAGTGGGCACTTAATTGTCGCGCTATTCTGTTTCTGGAGTGCTGGCTAACATCGTTGCAGGGCCCTTGCCAAATGGTCGCGCGTCACGTGCTGGAGTAGATTTGGTTGCGATGGTTTGAAGGAAGCCGGCCCTCGTGTAGGCGTACGTGGCAGATGACCTTTCCACAGGAAGTGTGTTTTTTTTAGAGCAGGAACGCGTCGGTGGGGCCACACGGAAGGACAAATATCTCGAAACAACACTGGAAACATTTTTCGACGCCCACACGCGAGGCTCCGTTACTTTGCTTCTTTAATTAAGTTTACCGATCCGACTTCGTTGCTTTGGTCCCAACTTGGGTGCTGACAAATTCTGTAATGTTTGTGCAATGTCTACGTCAATGGTTGAAATGTTAGGCATGTCATAACCTGCTGCGGTGTCGTGGCATTTCGCCTTCGTACGTTTTAATGTTCCGTATTTTCTCATCATCGAAAGTTAATTTTACTTTTTTTTTGTTGTATCAATTTTAAAGGGGGGGGGGGGGGGTGGGTGGCAGCATTTGAAATGTTCTCGCCAGTTTTGGCGTTGCTCTTGTACCGACCGTTCACGTCCTCGATCGAGCTGGCTGGTGGGTTTGAACGTGCACGTCTCTCGACCCTGGCAATCCATTGCTGAATGCGTTTCCCCCCCACACCGCGAGTCTATTATAGCATGGCAGGTAACATTGATGGTAATTGACAATGACGTTTTAAAATAAAGAAATCGCTATTAAAGAGATGCTAGCGAATTGCTAGTTGTGTCTCATCCCCCCAAATAAGTCCTGTACGTATTGTAGTTATGTTGTGCAGTAGTGCCCATTGAAAAAAAGCTCATGACCGTACGCAAGTATGCAGATTTAAAGTGCATATTAACAACCTCCAAGTAATGGAAACACCACGCCACACTTGAGTGACCCAGAGAGAAAATGATGCTGCTATTTCTGTCAACACACCAATCGCATAGAACCATATCTATACACACGCGCCACTTCTATTTGCACGTATAATTTTAAAAAGGTGTTTTAATTAACCAGCCTATTGTTGGCTTTCAAGACCAGTATCCCGCAGCGTCCGTTTCACACGAAAACACTGCACTATTTTGACCTCCGTCTCATCAGCAGAGTTAGGTCTTCAATACATTCATGATCCGGCACAAGATCCTGCTGTGACAATGATTTATTAAAATATGAACGGTTACATCCAAGCGGGTACACTTTCACGTACGCTTCTGTGGCCGTCTGGAACGCTCTTCCAATATTACAGCTCTGCACTTTTAAATCTAAATTGAAAACTAAACACTCAAATCAGATCTAAACAAATTAGTTTATTGTCCGTCCCCCGCACCTCCGATTGCCACGGTTTGCTACGTACGGCGCGAAAAAAGTTCAACATACGTACTAACATTCATTGAGAAGTATTTCAGCATTTGGCAGTTGTCGGTGTTTGACTTGGGGTTGGTTGTGCGGTGGTGACGAGTTGCTGCTCCATGGCAGGCGAGAGTGGCTGCCATTGTCAATAGGGCAGTGTGTGAAGTGGAGCATTGTAAACATCGCACATCACAACACAGACCTATAAACAGGTGCATCCAAGCGGGCACATTTGTAGTGCTTTATAAAAACGTTACAGAAGTTTAATTGTGTCGGGCGGTCCTTTGGTTTCCAAAGGGGATGACGGTGCCGGTGGTGTGGAGAGTGACCGGGTAGCAGCCGAAAGGAGTGAATGTGGCCAAGAAATCGTCCTCCGTAGGAGGAGATGGAGGGATGAAATCGCCTCTCGCGCAGAGTTGCTCGGTGGATTATTGCAAATCGTGATCACGGCAGATGGCGAAGGCTTGGGGAGCCCTCCATCTAGCAGTGGAATTATCTTGGCTTATTGTAGGTTTAAGATTATTTTTTGTTAACCGAGCGAAAACAACACAGCAATGCAGGTTCAATTATAACAGAGTTCGTGTACAATGTTAGGAATAGATTGCATGCTGTAGTGACGATGGGCAACTTGTGATCTGCCACGGGAGAGTTATTGAAAACTTTAAGAGTTTACATTTCCCTTAATTCCCAACAAAAAATACTTTGTCAAAATATGATTGCAATAGCTCTATATGCACATGTCTCAGGCTAATATATTTTTTTTACGTGGGTGTCCTTGCCGAGTAGAGAAATATTTCATTGGGTGTCTGGATATGTCGTCACACAGCCTGTGGATGTTTAATTGCAGACGTAATCCTTGAGTGTGGAATATGCCGGACAGATATTTATAACTTCGGTTTCCTACCTGAACGGTGTTGCTTTTCGCCCAGGTTAGAGCCATGATTTCCAGGACAATGTTGTTTTCCATCCAGTGCATTATAATTGTTGCGCATATTATGATCGTTTGCCGCACGTTTTGATAGTAACTGTTGTATGTTCTTTCTCCCACCGTAATGCCTAATAGATGGACCCGGCGTCCGTCTTCATGTGAAAGCAATGATAACCAACGGCGTGCGATGAACGGTGGTGGTGAAGCGAAAATGAGTGGAATATAAAACACCTCGTTACACTCCACAACGGCGGAATGTGTATAAATATCCGACAGTGGCCAATTGATGGGCCACCAGCGGTACATGATATCATAATTTCACACGTTGCTCGACAGCATGCCTCCCAGCCACGGAAGTCGAACGTTGGTAACATATGCGTGTGTCCCGTGACGAGAAGCTGTGTGACGTTTAAAAGTGAGACGTGACTCCTTCAATCATCTCTACAGGTGTATCTGCAGAACCTGAGGATCGACAGTCTTAAATATTCATAAGAGGTGGCTCAGCAGGATTTTGGGATTGCTTGATTGTTGAAACCGTGACGCCCATGCCCATGCCTGCCATAACATGAAGGTTTACAACTGCCTTCTCTTGAATATGAACGTACATATATTTTTTATTTAAATTGACTCCTCGATCTTGATTGGGTTTGTATTATTCGATTGAACGCTAGGCTATCGGTGTACAAATACAATGAGTACGGTGCATCTTAATCGAATACAATCTCACTGATATAATAGAAATTTCAATTCTTTAGAACTGCTTTTTGTGTTTAGTTTGTTGTCCTTCTCCCGCACCTCCGATGGCTACGTACGGTGCGAAAGAAGTTCAATTTATACTACGTAACGCGAAGTATTTGTTTTCGTTTTTTTCAAAGCATCAACAATTTCAATGTAAAATATCCTGTTGTGGAAACATAACCTTGCCACATTCATCTCAAAGTTTCAATGCGTCTTTTTTGCTTAAAATCAAAGCTCGGCAAGCCGCTCGATTGAAACCACACGAGTGGAAGAATTGGCGCAGCGTTTGGGAATGTCTTCTTTGGTTCTTTCGGTAAAGTCACGAAGAATGAGAATAAAATAATAAAATAAAATAAGACAATAAAATTCTCACGACTTTTCGGCCACAACACAAGTAGCCTTCATCAGGTGAAAGAACAGAACTTGTGTTGTGGCCGAAACGTCGTGAGAATTTTATTGTGCTATTTTATTATTTTATTCTCATTCTACGTGACTTTACCGAAAGAACCAAAGAAGATGAATCCTTGCAGTCACGAAAGCTTTAAATCGTTTGGGAATGGTTGCACTCGGATCCCGCTGCGTAAGAGGATACTTTAAAAAATAACTTAAACTGTGTTTTGTGTTGTTATTTTACCTGGTAAGGCCCACTTATCTATACCGCTCTTTTTTTAGAAACGACCTGGCAAAACCGCAAATGATAGCTCAACGAAGTGGCTTATCGCGTGGAAAATGTATAGCAACAGCCATGTACTCCTCAAAGCGTGTTGTTCATTTTAAATGTGTCGGGGAATAAAACCGGAGAGACCTGAATAAACATCCACGCGACCACGGGGACAGAGAGAGAGAGAGAGATGCACTTTCGGGGACCCCCTTGTATTCAGGTGTTCCCGATTATTTTAGTCCATCTGATTTCCGCGCAAAGTCGTTTCCAACTGTAGCGAAACCCACACCGTTACTCCGAGCCGCTGCTAAGCTGGTTTTCCACTTAAAGTAGTCCGTCCTCATTCTGCTTTTATGCTGCTGCAAGTTTATACAGCTATCGCTTTTGTCAGTGTTGTTGTTGTTTCTGTACCGTAGCGAGTTATTGTTTTTATTCGTTAAGAATAACGCTGTTGTGGAATTCAAAAGAACAACACAAAATACCAGATAGCGTTGGCGGTGGTGCACAAACACAAACAACAACAAAAGACAACACATTTGTCAATAAAACACTGCCACACAAAGCACGTGTGCCATATTTCCTTTCAACATTATGAAGAAAACTGTTGCCCAAATCGTCACTTATTGTATCCCCCCCCCCCCTCCTTTTAAGGCCACAGTGCTCTTGAGGGATATGTTGAGTTTTTCGGTTTGTTTAGTTATTAAGATTTTACAGGGGAGGGGGAGGGTCTTTGCGTTGTGAATTTCTGTGTGTGGTCGGTGGGTTATTTATCAGCCATGCCCATCAGGTGGCAAAGAAATGTCGACACGTTTTTCAGGGCAGCGTTCGCAGTGAATGTGTCGAGTTTATGATATTCTGCAATGGGTCATTACAGCATTCACATTTGCACTACACCAACAAAAGCAGGTGCTGTAACGCTGTAGCCAGCTGAGGGAGAGCTTTAAGCAGATGGGCTGAAAATATTACCGATGTACAATAACTATTACCACAATTTTATTTTTTAGACTAGC